TATCTATTTTAGGGGGACTAATTATCCACTGAAACCATCACAAAAATCATATTGAGTTGTTCCAGTTTTGTTCATACATATAAACATTATTCAAAACAAGTATTTTACTTCACACCCCCCTTCATAGAAGCATAACTATGAGAAAGTACTGCAAAAGATTTTGGTACCACTAAAGATACTTTACTGGATTTAATCAGTTTGAGCAACTTTTTACACAAATTTAAATAAACAGATGTACAAAGTTTATTAGAAGAAACACAAAATCAAGGATCATAACAGAATATAAACTGTTTTACAAGTTAACAAAAACAAAAACATAAATTCAAAACAAATTCTTCAATAATTAGAAGTAACTGAATGAAACAGTGAATAGAATGTGGTGCTACCTTAATAATATATTGAGACTTGATAGGATTTCTTATTTTTAATGATTTCCCTTTTCAATCAAAGGGAATGTGGTGATAATCCAATCAGAAAGAAAAACCTAGAATTTAAAAAATTTTTTTCATTAAGCAAATAAGTGCCAGACTTTCACACAAAAAATAACTATTTAAAAATAATTATATTAAATATTGTACACACATATTTTTAAAATTCACTATCCTTTCCAGATACTCACGTACAATTTATTGCTCTAGGCCTGAGTTAATATGAGAAAACTACTGGGCTTCAACTAACAAGAGTCCTATGGCAGGGATAAGGTGATTATTATAATACTAGAGGCCCAGTGCACAAATTCGTGCACTGGAGGGGTGTGGGTGTGTGTGTGTGTGTGTGTGTCCCTCAGCCCAGCTTGTGCCCTCTCACAGTCCGGGAGCCCCACAATCGATCTCCCCAAAGAGGTAGGCCCTGCCCACCTGCTGCAGCCCACTGGTCGGTGGCCTGGGCCTCCCTCTTTGGGGCGATCATGGAGTCCCCCAATTGATCGATCGCACCACTGGCCAGTGGCCTGGACCTCCCTCTGCAGGGCGATCATGGGGCCATAGCAGGGCCCCGGAACAACTGCATTGCACCTGCCTTGGCTGGCCTGGCACCAGTGGGTGTCATAGCGTGGTCATCCAAATGGTCGTCGGATGGTCATTCTGTTCAGCCGTTCTGTCAATTTGCATATTATGCTTTTGTTATTATAAATGATACTTTTTTCAACCTTTACATTCACTGAAGTATATATCAATTTAGAAAAAAATGACTTAATTTTTAAAAAAATATATCTTATTGATTTTTTAGAGAGGAAGGGAGAGGGATAGAGTTAGAAACATCGATGAGAAAGAAACATCGATCAGCTGCCTTCTGCACAACCCCTACTGGGGATGTGCCCACAACCAACGTACATGCCCTTGACTGGAATCGAACCTGGGACCCTTCAGTCCGCAGGCTGACGCTCTATCCACTAAGCCAAACCGGTTTGGACTTAATTTTTAATAAATTATCTCAATGGCCTCAACTAAGCAAGCTGACTAGACAGTATGGGTTTCGTGTAAGGCAGGGGTCCTCAAACTTTTTAAACAGGGGGCCAGTTCACTGTCCCTCAGACCGTTGGAGGGCCAGACTATAGTTTAAAAAAAAAAAACTATGAACAAATTCCTATGCACACTGCACATATCTTATTTTGAAGTAAAAAAGCAAAACGGGAACAAATACAATATTTGTATTTGCATGTGGCCGTAGTTTGAGGACCCCTGGTGTAAGGCCACTGTTGTTTGGCATCCAATCCCCCCTTTTTAGATTACTCTAATTTTCCTTTGAAAACTATCCAGGGGTGAGAATATAACTTGGTCCTGGTGATCTGATTTAAAAATGACTGAATCAAAGATGAGCAAGAGTCAAGCCAAGCTAAAGACAGCCAGCCTTGTGACTAGCAACAATGTGCTCTTTCCTTTGGGGATACTGATTTGGTTGAATGCAAACCTTGAGCTATCATGTAGAATGTTAGACTGAGAATGAATTTAACTGTGAAGAAATCAAGAGACAGGGATGAGAAAAACAGATTTTTGGAGTCATGCAAATACCTAGATGCAATAATGCTGGGGTCCAACCCCAGCAGGTCCAGGGGTTCCCCAAGGTGTGGACGGAGTCGGCGAAGAAGGAATGACACGGAGACAGCCTTCAGTTGATCAGCAGCCTAGTCAGGACCTCTAGCCAGGATCTCCAGCCAAAGTTCTGGTTAGGATCTGATGTTTATTGTCTTGTTACATCTGTATTTATACCAGTCGATTTTAATCCTATCAATTTCTATTGCAAAGGTTAGGGCGTTTCTTATCTCCATTCCAGGGAGTAAAGATTATGTAGCTTAAGCATGATTGTTTGTAGTTAAAGTGATTAACTACCTGCCTGGCACTTAGTTAAGAGGTTGTATCCCCTCCCTAACCTCAGGGAAAAATCCCCACCTGGGGAAACAACCTTTCTCTGAGAGGTGACCTTGGTTAAAACACATGGCACTAAGGAGAGCAAACATATTAAGAACAATATGCTATATATGCCAGGTCCCTTGAAACATATGCTGTGCAGATGTTTCTTTCCTGCAGCAACTGTGTCAAGCAGCAAGGATGGACCGGCTTCTGGCACAATAATACTGAAGCTTTAAGATTACATAAAGTTTTCTTTAAAAAATCCCCTGGTCATTTCCTATTAAGTCATGACTAATACAATTTACTGGATAATCTCTAAATTATTCACAACTACAAATCCCATGAGTATAAGTTTTAAAAATATTCTTGAAGTAAAATAATCTATTGTTAACTAAAATATCTATACTAAAAGTGTTTAAAGATTAATCATGTGGATGAAAAAGGAGTCCTATGGAAAGTAATCTCACAGGGTGATCAGATCATAAATTGCTAACAGGGAAGTCACGGTGGGTAGTCATGCCCAGACATATAACATTTTAGTAAAAGGTTTATCTTTGCCTTAAGCAATCCCTGTCCACTGTTTCTGTGCATCTACATTAGCACACCTTTGAAATATGCACCCTTAAGCATTTAGCATTCTAAAATTGTGAGTAGCATACAAATTACCTTTATAAAGCTAGAGGAAAAAAACCTAATCTCTATGTATAAAAGCCTAAGCGACTGAACGACCAACTAGTCGATAGGTCGCTATGACGCACACTGACCACCAGGGGGCAGACGCTCAACGTAGGAGCTTCCCCCTGATGGTCAGTGTGCTCCCACAGCCAACCTCCTGCAGTCCCTCCCCCCGGCCAGCCAACCTCCCATGGCCCCAATCAGCCCTGATTGCAGGCCAGGCCAAGGGACCCCACCTGTGAATGAATTTGTACACTGGGCCTCCAGTTTAATTATATAGTTACACCTTTTAAATAGTATCTGCCTGGCATATTATCTAACAAGTTATAGTCAGTATTTGATAAATGTTTGATGAATAAACTATAGCAGACAGGTTGAATGTGAGTGGGCGCAGTACATAACAACAAAGATCTTAAAATGTAGTATAATGTAGATCAAGCTTGTCAAACTCAGGGCCTGCAGGCCCCATGCAGCCCACAATGAATATTTTTGCGGCCCAGCCAATATAACGGTATATAAGGAACATTTTAATAAAAATTTCCTAACTTAATTTTTACAATATCCTGTTATACATAATTATTAATAAACTAGAACGTTTACTAATGACTGATTACTATAATCGTGTTGCATTCATTTCCCTTACGCACCTTATGTGCAGGCGCACCATTTCTCTCCATTAATACTAGCAGCGAATATTTTAGCAGCTGATTGCCGCATCATTAGTTTTGGACTGACTTGTTTGGTGTGCACAACAGGAAATATTTCGCTTTCAGAGAACAAGAAAAATAGGTTTATTTGAGTTACACTTATTAATTTGTGGAGTTATTCAGTGTCTGGTAAGTTAATGTTCAAGAAAAAATATTAATTTTTATTAAAATGTTCTATTATTTTATGTTAAGGATTACTCCTTTATTTCAGCCCTTTGTATTCAGCATGTCTCTATCGAAATAAACCTATGTTTCTATGAAAATTGAAGCTTTTGGTTTTTTTGCGGCCCACATCAACTTAAACCTTGTTTATTTGGCCGGTGTTAGCCTTTGAGTTTCACATGCTTGATGTCGATCTTAAAATGTAGAAGAATTGAAAAGTTAAAAAGGTTCCTTTCATGTCTCAGGAAGAAATAATCCTATTCCATAAAAGTAAACATCCTGTCTCTTAATGACTTTCTTTTCCTTCTACATAAGTTATTAAGCCGCTGGTGATTTAATCAAAGCCGTCTTTTCCCCTCTCAATTGCCCCCTCCTTATTTGATGCTCACTTGAGACTCCCAGCCATTACCCTAGTCCAGAGTCTTCCCTGACACTGTCCAAGAGTAAGTTTATTATCTTCTCCAACATTATAAACTCTGCGTCAGCTTCAAAATCTCAGGAATCCTCTAATATTCTAATGCTAAAATGCTCATAACCATTTCAACACCAAACAGTGCTATATTATCTCTATAATGCTCACTGCTACTATCCCAGACCACACGTACTGCCACAGTTCCACTCTTTCAAGTCCTACAAATTTCATCAAGGCGAGGAGCACAAAACTTGGTATTACTTAAATTCACGTGTTCTTCCTGTGTGGTCATTCTAGTGAACTTAGCCATGTGTTTATATTGTTTCCTTATTACAAAGCTAAATGATTTCACACGGTCAACAAAGCCTGTCAACAGATAAGGGTTCCTACAATACTAGGATTGCAAACCCAGGGTAACAAATTCAACTAGCATTTTCAGTTATCACCCTTCCTCTAATCCCGCAGAACTTGAAACGGCAGGAAAGAATGATGGATGAGCAAAAGGGAAAGGAAACGCAAAAGCGCAGAGGCGGGGACTTCACTTCCGATTGCCACGCAACACGAAAAAACCCTAACGTCCCTCCGGCTCTTTCGCAATCTACGAGATAAAGGCCGTATCGGACTCCAAGCCCAAGGACAAAGACACAAAAAAGAAACTGCTCTGAAGAAACAGACCCTTGCTGGTTCAGAACTCACCTGTTAGAAGCGGCGTGGACGGCGCCATCTCGTCCCGGAAAGAGAAAACTATGCACTTGGGTCAGAGTTTACGAGGGCCAAACCCGGCCTCTACACGTCCACTCCGGCGTGGGCACGGCAACTTAGTATTTCCGGGGTCACCAGCCTCGGGGCCAATTCACTTCCGTTTGGAGCCCTGTAGCAGCGAAGGAGCCTCAAGGCGCACGCGCAGCTCTGGGGGTGTGTGTGTGGGCGGGGGGAACACATTTTTACAGAACTTGGGAGGGCTGGGCCAGGGCCCCTGCGCCCGCCTTCACCCTCCCTCTCCCGCTTCTGCCGGTGGGGCCCGCACTTCCGCGGGGCGGAGTTCTCCCAGTGCTGACGTTGGCAGCCGAACCGAAGTAGTTCGAGCTGACGGGTTACGAGGTCCACTTGTTTCGTTTCTTCCTCTTTCACTCCACGCTCCCGGCGGCGGCGGCAGCGTTTCGAGCCTCTTCCGGGCCTGCTGTCCTCCCGCGCTCCAGCCTCGCTCGCCGGCGCGCCCAGGTTCCCAGGCAGCCGGCGGCCCACGCCCGCCTGCGCTCAGCACCGCGTTTGCAGCTCTCAGGCCCAACCTAGCGCCCGCCTGAGAACCTCCCGGTTCCCGCGGCGCGGCACCGGGAGCGGGGCGTCGCAGCGGTCCGAGGGGGAGCGAACGAGGCCAAGGGGTGGTTTGGGTTAGTGGTGGCACCGCGAAGATGGTCGCCAAACAGCGGATCCGTATGGCTAACGAGAAGCACAGCAAGAATATCACCCAGCGCGGCAACGTAGCCAAGACCTCGGTAAGGAAAGAGCGGACGCGCCTCTGTGCTGCAGCCGGAGCTGAGGCCCGAGTCCAGGGCCGCGTCGAGTCCTCCCCAGACCCGGCCGGCTGTGGGGGCCCGAGGCCGCGAGCTGGACACTAAGTTGGGGGTTCGGGGAAGGGGGTGCCGGAGCTGGGCGGCTCGGGAACGGAGGAGACTCCGCTGTGGGAGTCCTGGGTCGCAGTGGATTTTTGCATTTGAAACGGTGGGTTTTCCTTTTTGCAGAGAAATGCTCCCGAAGAGAAGGCGTCTGTAGGACCTTGGTTATTGGCTCTCTTCATTTTTGTTGTTTGTGGTTCTGGTAAGTGCTCTGGGGGCCACGTCGGGTGGGAAGTGGGATGACGGGTTTAGGATGACGTGGTGACCTCTCAGTGGCGAGTCTGAACCGCGTAGTTCTCTACCCACCTGCCGCGCGCTCTACATAATTCTCTTTCATCCGAACAAATTTACTTGTCCCACATATGCACAGAGGGTGATGCTCCAGAAACTTCTCCCAGCTTGACTTGTGCCCACAGGATACTAGAAAAGGAGGTCGTCAGGTTCTTAGTAATGATCAAGCTGGAAGAAATGTAGAGCAGAACAAACAACGAAAACATCTCAGAGAAGGAAATAGGATGGTTTGCTATTCCATTATCAATTCCTTTGCAAAAAAAAGAAACTTGAACATTATGTACATATGGATGTTCTAACTTAATTTAACATGTCCCAGAATCTAACATCTTATTTCAAAAGCTGGGTATATTTTAGGGTAAAGCTAGTGCGAAGAACTGATTCACTATAGAAGAAACGTGGCAATTTAATATGTGACAAATGGTTTTAGATTAATAAAAGAAACATTTGACATATGGTAGAAAAATTCGTTATCAGGACAGCCTGCTGTTAGCTATAGATTCTTGCCTCTGCAAATGCATTACAGAATATCATTTATTATCTTATATAAGCTGTTGATATTGAAGTACATGTTTCTGCATTTCAAATTCTGACATTCTAACTTTATTGGGGTTTCTTTTAAACATTTCACTTTGCCTGTCTCCTAAACTTGCCAGTTGGAAGCTTTCCTGATAAATGGCCAAGAGCCAAGCAATTTATATAACCTAAAGATGATTGAATTTCAGCCTTGTGAGAATGAGGAAACATGCATGTTACAGGCCAGGCCTTCAGAGGACATGTAATATCTAGTGATAAACCAAAATAATTCTGTGCTTGAAAAACCTGTTTGCTTTGGTACTTTAAGTTCTTTCTGAAATGCTATTGTCAAACTCTCTGGGACATTTAAATAGAAAACTCAGAATTTTAAAAAATAACTTAATGGACATTTGTTTTTTTATGGTAGGCCTGTCTTCATTTCTTATTACAATGAAGTTACATAGCATGTGCAAGTTACTTAAGGGTACCCTACCTTAACATTGCGTACCGCATAGAAATCTCTAAGACATATGCCAGGGACCGTAAGTTTTTGGGCAAACTGCACGTTATTTAAATCATCATAACTACAGATCATAATGCACTTTAGGTGTTGTTTTTCAATAATTATAACATTTTTATTTACAAAAACAATTAAAGTTTCTAGTACTTTAGGGGCTATGTGTTCGGACCATAGGTTCAAGCTTACAACCCAGCCGTTGGCTATGATTGTGCTGGGAGGGCCCTGCCCTCCAGCTGGGACTTACACGTGGCAGTGAGAGGACCCTGTCCTTTCATTAGTCCGAGGCTTGAACCTGGCCAAAACACTGTAACCGCGCCCCACAGTGGACAAGACAGTGTGTTGACATCTAAGAACACTCGTGAGCGGTCCTTAACAGATGGCGCGCGCGAAACACGAGAAAACTCCTGAGCGGTACGCAATGTATTAATAAATATTTGCCCCTTGCCAGACCAATTTATTCAAAGCATGTTTTAATATTTGCTCTTTCTCTTTACAGCAATTTTCCAGATTATTCAAAGTATCAGGATGGGCATGTGAAGAGCCTGACCTTAAGATGTTTCCATTCTCCTGTGAATTTTAACTTGAACTCATTCCTGATGTTTGATACCCTGGGTAAAAACAATTCAGTAAATCATCCTGCCTCAGAATGACTTTTCATATCATCATTCATGTGTCATTCCAAGGTTTTTTCACAAGTCATTCCAAATTTTCTAGTTCATACCACAGTGCCTTGCAAAAGCACCACATGAATAAAGCAATAAAATTTGATTGTTAAGCTACCATAGCGGACCCTACTTATTCAGTCATTAAAGAGTAAGTTTTTTAATGTGGTTATTAAAACAGTATACAGTATAGGTAATTAGATTAAGTCTGTGTGGACAGGGTCTAGATTTTGTTAACTCTAATGAGTACATGCAGTTAGCTTAATTTAAAATTTGGAATCTTATGGTTTTTATATAGCTAGGCACTTATTACAATATCTTGAATTGAAAGCACACTCCCATATAGGGTTATGGACCTGTACTGTAATAAGGTGCTTATAAATGGAACAACTATACAGTTAGCCTAGTTTTCCCACAATCTATAGCACCTAGGAAATTCTAAAAGCTTCTAAACGCCTAATGTAAAAGAAGATGCTTATAGCCATGTTTACTTTAATATTATTTCTGGTACACTACCTTGGATTTTGCATGAGTGAATATACTAACCTGAGATGCCATAAGAAAACAACTTGGTTGAGCATTTTGTAATTTAGTCACTTCAGTTTCACTAAAACCTATCATGGTGGAGTACAGTCAGGGAAGGTTTGTTTATCTCACCAGTGATTTCATCAGAATTACTTTAATGTATCAAAGGGGTCTACTATGGTAGACAGAGTCTAAGAGGAAAAATACGACTAAAAATGGATGCCTCATCAGGACATACTATTGAGCCCAATGTGCCATAAGACATCTTAGCATGTTATTAGCACTTTTAACATCAAAAAGGCACAACAACTAAAAAGTTACACCTAGTTTGGAAATGTTTTTTCTAGATTTATGATTAAAATTGTTGGGGTTCTAGATACATCAGACTAATGTATCATCTGGAATTAAATGGATTTACTGATAAGGGATCAGTCCTTAGTTTTCCCTTTGTTGTATAATTTTATAGGTTATGATCAGACTTCCATTGTAATGGTAAGGGGGAGTAGGAAGGCAGATTTGGGGTTTTCTGGTACTGTTAAAAACTGAAAGTATTGGCTATTTAAATACTGAGCCATAACTTGATGAAAAAAACCTGAGAGATGTCTGTTAATTGGAAAGAAAGCTGCTTGTTTGCTTTGTTTAATTGCCTCAGGATATTTCTTTTAAAATAAGCTGTTTTAAAAGGAACAGAAGGGAAATCTGCTACTTTGTCTATACTCAGTGTGACCTTCAGAGAGAGCTTCTGATGCCCCAAGGTATGGGAGAGAGTGTGGGAGGGGAGTGGTAAGGCTTGTCAGGAATTTGACTACTCTAGAATAGGAAAAGAATCAGCTGACCTGAGGCCAGCAGGTTTTATCTTCATTGTTACCTGCCTTTCTCACCCAGGAAGTCAACTCCTATACTTGTTTCCCTCTTTGAAACAAGTATCTTGGTTAATTCTATTTTATTGTAACTTTTAAAATGAAAGTTATTGTTCTAAGTTCATAGCAGGTGCCTTATTCTTTGCTTTGAGTCAAACCATTCCATATCAGAATTTCCCTTGGTGTATCATAGGTAATTGACTTTAAGATGGTGGTGATGTCTTTTAATATACAATGTCTATTAATTTGACTGTTAAATTGCTATAGCTAGCAACCATTTTACATATGTAAAGTTGCATTCCCTTTGTATTTCATGTGTAATTTTCCAATTGAGTGCATTTTATATTAAGGATGGATTATGCATGTTTGGGTCAATGAAAGCTATGTCTTATTTGATTTGTTCTTTAAAAATAAAAGTTCCCTGGATATTTTATGCCTTCTAAAAGAAAATGATTTTACAGAGTTCAATTTTTTTTTTTTTTTAATAAGAATTTGTTTGAACCAAATTGATGCATGCTGGAAACCAAGATCACAAGTGCTCTCCAGAGTTCTTATCTGAGTGTATATTTTACAATTAATAGAAAATGATTTTAAAGACTGCCTAGTATTATGTTGTACTTGAGATAAAACAAATAGTACCCAAATGCACGGATTTAAAGTTTATAACTGGGAATAGGTAGCAAGAAAAATACATAAAAGCACAATGAATTAAATACTTCCCCACCTAGGATTTACCCTTATCTCATGTTTATCCAAGTCTGATTCAAGGAAGAAGCACGGTTCTTTTTAACTCCCTTTCCTAATTGAATTTTTAAAAAGCATATCTTTATTGATTTCAGAGAGGAAGAGAGAGAGAGAGAAACATCAATGATGAGAGAGAATCATTGATCAGCTGCCTCCTGCACGCCTCCCACTGGGGATGGAGCCCACATCCTGGGCATGTGCCCTGACCGGAATCGAACTGTGACCTCCTGGTTCATAGGTTGACCCTCAACCACTGAGCCGCGCTGGCCGGGCTCCCAATTGAATTTTATGTGTCATCTAATTTTGAGCACAGTATGAGAGTAAATGCTTTGTTGCAGTTGTCTACATTATCCAATTACTCTTTGTAATTTAGCTACAACATTCCAAAGAGTTGTCAGGATTTCATTGTATCTGTTGAGTTGTATATAATGCTCAAAATAATTGAGTGAGCTTCCAGATTAAGTAAAAGATTTTCATTGTAAAAGGATACACTGTAATGGGCGTTTGACTTACATTAAAGAAGTATGTATACTCAAGTGCAAAGCATCCTTTACAGATAAATAAAAAAATTCATGATTCTTCTTACCAAGTTTTGTTGGTACAAAGGACTACCATATTGTGCTGGATTATGTTCTTGGAGGTTCAACAAACTTACTGTGCATTAGCACCTGTAAAATGTAGAATATCATCAAATTTTATAAATTGTTCTGAAGTTTGATTTGCCTTTACCTTTTTAGTTTTACTTGTTTTAGACACAAACCACAACTTCAAGAGGTAGGAGTTGGGTTCAACAGCATGTGCAATATCACTCCCTCAGAATCCTTCCTTGTCTAGACATAATTCTTGTACTGCTTTATCTTCAAGTTGAATTAAAACAAAAATGTCCTAATTTGGAGAAGTACTAGTATGCAATAAAAGGCTATAAAGTAAGCTGAAGGGGAAAATTCAACAGTCTGGACTTAGATAATCCAAAGTAAGTTCATATCTATTAGAATCAAAGGTGGAAAGGACATGGGAAATTCTGTCTAACTACCTCACTTTACAGCTAAATTAAAAAATTAATTCAGTGAATATTGAGTAACTTACATGCTGGATAGAGAGAGCTGTGAATACGGAGTCCCGACACTTAGATCTTGCAATCCAGTAGTGAGAGAAAAGACAATGATGACCATAATTGTGGTAAGTATTTCAAAGGAGAGGTAAAACCTGATAAATGGTTTCTGCCCTCACAGAGCTAACCGAGGTAGAGCAGAAACTAGAAACAAGGTTTTCTGCCTCAGTGTACCCTGCGGAAACCTAGGGATGACTGCGAAGCATCCACACAGAACACTTCTGTTTCCATGACTCTTCTTCTGTTCTTAGAAAAGCTCTTAATTTTTTTTTCATGTTGCTAATTAAAAAGAAAAAGAAAGAAAAGAAAGAACTTGTCCCTTTATGGATGCAATTTCTTTTGAAAATGAGTTTGTGACAAATTTAGTATTGGCATTTCCTGTACAGCACAAAAAATACAAAGATCAAATCAGTAGTGTTATCTATAACATTCAAGTGTACACTTTTTAAAAGTATTTTGCTATAATTTTATTGTATTTTGTTTTAAAAATGTTCATCTGTGATGTTGAAAAATAATTTGATAATTTAGTCAAAAAAATGCCTTCTTCTGCTCTCCATAGGTGCTTTTTATAACAAAGGTTCAGTGACTTCCAGTGTGCAAATTTCTACTTTGCAGTGCAGACAGAATTAGAACAAATCTGCAAATTTAAATAATTAAAACTGTGATTTCAGTGTCATTAAATAGGTTATAACAGGTTTTTCTTCTTTCCTCACTGGAGAAAGTCTCTAACAGGAGAATGAGAATAATTGATTTTAGAGCTGGAAGGAACTTTATTTTTATATATATATTTTTTATTGATTTCAGAGAGGAAGGGAGAGGGAGAGATAGAAATATCGATGAGAGAATCATTGATCAGCTTCCCCCTGCACGCCCCCTACTGGGGATTGAGCTGCAACTCAGGCATGTGCCCTTGACCAATATCGAACCTGGGACCCTTCAGTCTGTAGTCTGATGCTCTATCCACTGAGCCAAACCGGCTAGGGCTGGAAGGAACTTTAGAAATGATCTTGATTAACCCTTTATTTTATAGTTGAAATTATGGCCTAGAGAAGTTACCTTTCCCATTACCAATGAGCCCGTAGCAGAGCAAGGATTAGAAAACTGGCTCTTTAAGTCAGAGAAAAATAAATATCACATGATCTCACTCATTTATGGAATATAATGAACAACATAAGCTGATAAAAACAGATCCAGAGACAGAGAATCATCAATCAGAATGTCAAACCTCAGAGGGAAGGTAGGGGAGGGTGGGGGTAAGGGTGAGAGGTCAACCAAAGGACTTGTATGCATGCATATAAGCATAACCAATGGACACAGACAACAGGGGGTGAGGGCATGAGTGGGGGGGTAATGGGGGACACATATGTAATAAGGACACATATGTAGTACCTTAATAAAGAAATTAAAACTACAAAAAGAAAAAACACAAAAAACTAGCTCTTTAGTGTTCTGAGTGCCAAGGAATTATTGTGTGGCAATGTCTCCTTTTACTTTAGGAGATTATATATTAATCTCAGGAAACCCCATGAGTGTTCCATTAAGGTAAATCTGAAGATTTACTAAACTTCAGTGAGTTCCCACTGCAACTGGGATGGAAATAACTCTAGCTTTGATTGTCAGGACACTTCCCAATGTGGCAACAACCTACCTTTTCAGCCTTGTTCCCCACGGCTTCCCTCCATAGACCTGTTCTAGCCCAAAGAGTCTACTTTCATTTTTCAGATATCTTGAACTCTCTGTGTTTTTATTCAGTTTACCTTCATTACAATACCTATTCTTCAAAGTCTAGCTTAAATTTTACCTCCTCTGTGAAGTTTTCCCTGGCCATGGAAATCAGAAACACTTTCTTTGGGATTTATGACTCTGGACCAGTTAGCGTTTATTATATTGCCATGTTTATTTGTTTTATTTTTAAATTTTATTTCTTAGTTTCTCAGAGAATGGAATCCTTAAGAACTAATTCTCTCTCTCTCTCTCTCTCTCTCTCTCTCTCTCTCTCTCTCTCTCTCGTCTACTCTCACCACCCTCAAGGTTAGTATGAAACTTTACACACATAGGGAGAGCTCACCTTTTTAGTTGAGTGATCAAGTGTAAGAGAATGATGAATGCCCTTTTATATCAGAATCTTCAAAATAAGAACATGTTTTATAAAATCTACCGCTGATATAGCCATTATCTCAACATTTTCCAATCCCGGCAACCTCTGCTTAATGGCTGGGCTCAGCACCAGAATTCAGTCTGCCCTTGAAACGAACTCTCCCAGGATATGTTTGATTTTTGGAAATGTATCAACAGAGGTATTTGTCCTTCAGTCATATTTGAGGACCTGTTCATAGTAAGTGCCACTGAGAAAACCAAAAGGTGTTTTATAAAGAAAGCTGATACCTCACCACACCAGTTTGTCCAGTTATAAGGAAAAAGTCAAACAACCATGCTTGCTATTTACAGCAGGTGTTTGGGGGCTTTCAGCTGGCTCTGTCCCCTCTTATCCTAGGTTGCAGGAGGGGCAAGGATGCCACAATATGTGCCCTTCACACCAGACCATGAAACCAGAATGGCTCTGTACTCCCATAACCATATCCAGTCTCTGGCAGGGATAGCTTGTTCTGTCGTCAGAAAGGAATTTTCTACAGTAAGGCCATGTTGGCTGGCATTTAAAATGTGGCAGGATTACCAAATTTTAGATTTCATACACTGTGCAAAGGAGATTCCCAGGGCCTGTTTGGGAAAATGCCATCCAGACACACATGCAGAGCTTGGAAAGAGCGCTTAGTTTGGGAAGAGTGCTTACCTCCTGGCACCTGGGAGTGCCCCTTAGACCAGATTCTAAGGCTCAAGTTTCATCTGGGATTGAGAGAGATTATAATTTCTGACAAAACCCAAATCATAAAGGTAAACACTGGGAGTACCCAAGCATGTGTCTGCTTACCTCCAGCCTTGGTTACTCCTGCACACCCCACCTGTTAATTACAGGTGGATGACATGAAGAAGCAAGGTGCTACAGAGAATGAAAACCATCTCAGAACCTTGAAGTCATTTCTGCTTGACTGAGAATAGCAATCAGAATGTTTTTAAAGGTGAAATCCCTTTCTTTGGCTAAACATTACATTACAGTCCACCTGACTGACAGGGAAAGCAGACTAGTGCAGTTTAACACCCAGCCTCTGTCGGAGGTCTAAAAGGAGTAATCTGTTACTCAGAGTATGGCCAGAGGACCAACAATAACCTGGAAGCCTGTTAGGAATGCAGAATCTCAGGCCCCACACAAGGCCATTAAATTAGAATTTTCATCTTCACAGGATCCCCAGGTGAATCGAATGCAAATTAAGCATGGAGCAGTGTTCAAGAGGGCTCAGCATTCTAGTTCCAGGGCCTTAAGCAAATTCCCAAATTCCGCAGGCTTCTCTGTGACATGCAACTGTTATGAAACCTAATGACAGTAACTTTGTGAATTGCCAAAACAAAGGGTGAAAGGCCTTCCTCACTGAAAACAAAAAGGACCTGCAGCCTCTGTATTTTACTTGGCAGGAAGGACATTGCCAACTTTCTTAGGGTCACTTGCTACTTATACATCTTGTGTCCTAACATGTGATTTATCTTTGAAAATGTCCCATGTGCACTTGAGAAGAATGTATATTCCTTAGCTTTTGGGTGAAATGTTCTGAAGATGTCAATTAGTTCCATCTGAACTAGTGAGTCCTTTAGGATTGCTGTTTCCTTGTTGATTTTTTCTAGAAGATTTCCAGTGAATTCCTATGGTTGTATTGTTATCCATCTCTCCCTTGATATCCTCCAAAAGTTTTTTTTTATACATTTGGACACTCCTGTATTGAGTGCATATATATTTACCAGAATTATAGCCTCTTATTGTATCGATCCCTTTAGTATTATGAAGTGGCCTTCCTTATCTCTTGTTATGACCTTTGAGGTCTATTTTGTCAGATAGAAGGATTGCTTCCGCAGTTCCTTTTTCGTTAATTTCCACTTGACTGAAAATTTTTTCCCATCCCTTCACTTTCAGTCTGTGTGAGTCCTTTGTTCTGAGGTGTGTCTCTTATAGACAGCATATATATGGATCATGTTTTCTTATGCAATCAGCTACCTTATGTCTTTTGACTAGAGCATTTAATCCATTGCAGTTATTGATAGGTACTTGTTTGTTGCCATTTTATTCTTTATGCCTGTGTCCCGTCATCCCTTTCTATTTCTTCTTTTTAGAATAGTTCCTTTAGCATTTCTTGCATTGCTGTTTGGTGGCAAAAAACTCCCTTAGCCTTTTTTTGTCTGTGAAGCTCCTGATTTCACCTTCAATTTTGAATGATAGCCTTGCTGGATAGAGTATTCTGGATTCAGTTTCTTGCTTTTCATCACTTTGTATACCTCATGCCATTTCCTGATGTGTTTCTGTTGAGAAACCAGTTGA